TCCAAACGTTCTGCGCTACGGTGAATCCCGATTACTTCGGATAACATTAAACATGGTGGATGAGGCGGAGGCCGTTCTACTGTCTGCGACTCGCCTCCGCAGCCGCTTAAGTAGAGTCCGCCTACTATCTGACATACCGTGGAAAGAACGCTGAACGAATCCCACTAACCGAGAGGAAACAGAAAAAACAAAGATAATAAAGTTGTGATTGCTCAGTGTTCTTGTGCTTACAGATTTCTACGCCGCCGATACACTGGTACCAGCCTAGAAGCAATAGCACCAATTCTGTGTGGCCATTTCCCATGAAAATGTTGTCGTCACATAGTTAACAAGAGTTCATGCGTCACTTAACTACAAGGAGTGTGGTCCCAGGCTGTTGAAACTGTCTAAACGAAGAGTACAAATTCTTCTAGAGAATTATACTAAGTATCGTAACAGGTTGCCAAAAGAAATTCTTCTGTAAGCAGAAGGAACCCCACCTCGTTCTCTTGACAACACGGTGGGGGAGCCAATCTCAATACAAACACCGGCTGTAGGACCCAACTCGTTGATAGTAGATAGTAGACATAACACTGAAGGGACACAGCAGAGCACGAGCAATAACCGGAATCCGGGGCATCTGACACTAATATAAACCAACTTCGTCTCGACAGCCTGCAACTGACCCAAAAAGCAAATAGTCACCGACCCTTCAGCGGTCGGCGTAAACTCACTTGCTTCATGCATCACATCCAACACACTTTCGGTCCTCGAGAAGCTCTCATGCATGTACACAAATGCCCAAGGCTTATACAGCAAATCAGCCGAGTTGAAACTTAGACACGAGTCAGTAGCTTGGGATCTCATCACTATCACGGGAACACAGTTGTGTTGTAAGATAATGGATGCCGAAATCGTGCTAACAGGTATGTCCGTTGTCTGGAATGATCGAGCCAGCAAAGGTGGCATGGTATCCACTACTTTCGTAACAATCTGCAGTGCGAACCCATACACGATTCAGAAACTAGTGTGCCCGACTACATTTGGTGTAATTTATGGCTGAGAGAGAACGATCATGGTTTAGTGGCTGTTCTTTATCGCCCACCATCGTCTACACCTGAGATGGGCTGCAACTTAGTGGCTGCGTTGAGGCAGGTGAGAAACAAGAAGTGGAGTCACGTTCTACTCGCCGGAAATTTCAATTTACATGCTCTGGAATCCCAGGCCATACCAAGAGCAGGGAAATTAACGGGTCATCCAGATTGGACCGAATATTCACTAATGACCAACTGATGATGGAGAGAATGATAATGGGTACTCCTCTAGGCCGCAGTGATCATTTGACTTCGTATTTCATGTACACTTGCTATGCTGAATACCCTGAGGACAGAACTCAAACGACGCAAAGCATAACCAGTTACGACACATTAACCCGACTCGTTGAAGCGACCGACTGGGGTTTTCTAACCTACGATATACCGGATCTTGTTTGAAATCATTTCGTCAGTAAGTTTAACACCTTCGTTAGTGGAGCATCGGAAACGGGGACCACCAAGCTGGGAAACTTGGCGTCGTTTGTACGGTGTAGGACACAAAAAAGCATGGTGATGCGCAACGCGACGTGGTATATCAACAAAACCGATCCGAGTCCGAGTACGTGAACTGCCTACGTTGTTCACAGTAAATATTGTACCCAATTAGTGCCCGAGTAAAAGGTAGCCTATCAAAAAGCTTTAGCAAAGAGAGAGACTTACTTCAAATCCTAAGCTTATGTACATACATGTGAAAAGCCTTCGCAAGGTGAAAGGTGGATTTCCCCCTCTTCAAGCAGTGTATGGTCTAATTCGGGCTGCCAAAGCAGAATCGAATGTACTGTAACCACAATATGCACTGACGTTTCATTGTATCCCGTGCTCTCCTGTACCTTTGGAAACTATGGTGCTTCCACTATGACACATATAGGTTTTGCTGTGAGCACTGTGGTGAAAAACTGCTACCCATGCGCGTGCACGCCTGTCCAGAAATTGAGGACATCCGCGCAAAAACGATTGTTGTGGCGACCAACGTTTTAGCTCGACCCTTAGCATGGCTGTTCCAATATTTTCTTGATGAGAGGCACGATCCTGCATGTGGAAACATGCATGGGATAGTCGTTCCGAATCAGCTAATTATCGACTAGTGACTCTTCTGCCAGTTCTCACAAAAGCTGTGGATGTTATCATTGCCGACGGACTCATGTGTTATCTGGACGGCTCTGGTCACATTGCTCAGCAGCAATGCGACTTCCACCAGAATCGGAGGTGCACCACAAACCTATTGTTAGCACGAGACAGCTGGATCGAAACTGTGGACCCTGGTACAGTTGATGTGGTTTACCTTGACTTCTCTAAGGCATTCGACCGGTTGGATCATCGTATCCTTCTCGCTAAACTTCAAGGATGTGGCATTGGCACCCTCTCCTCGTGTGGATCTGCAATTTTCGCTTGCACAGGCATCTGAAGATGAGAGGACATAAATCCAAGTCAGACCCAATACACGCCGAATGCGGTGTGGCACATGGTTCGGTACTGGAGCGTCGTCTATTCTTGGTCATCATAAACGATCTAGTGAGACAAAGGATGTTAAAATGATTACTCTATGCCAAGTAAACCAAAGTTTGGCGAATGATCAGAGTTCCAGAAGATTGGATCCAGCTTCCAAACGACCTTGAGAAGGCTTTTGGATAGCCTGTCCAAAATCGCCTTTTCTTCAATGTAGCCAAATGTTGATTGCTCCATTTACGACACAGAATGGTTCACACCTACAAGCGGGGGGACCAGGATCTGCAACACTGTTCTCTCGAAATGGATCTTAGTGTGCTGTTCCAGGAAGATCTTGGCTCCTCGGAGCAGCGAGAGAAAACTTTTAAGAACGGGATGCAAAACTTGTGGCTTTTACGGAGAGCTTTCAGGCAATCTGAACCGTCTATTTTCCGCCAACTACTTTCCGGTTGCATACTCCTCATATAGAATATGTAATCCAGGCATGGCACATATGGCCAAAACGGGCTCACAAGGCCTTGGAGATTTCGCAACGTCCGACGACCAAAAATATCAAGGGGTTATGCCAGTTGTCACACGAACAGTGTCTCAGAGCGCAGGGCATTTTCAACGAACATTATCACCGTTTACGTAGAGACCTAATTATGATTTAGCAAATGCTAAACAACTCTAATCACCCGTTGAAGCGGAGTCACAACAACAGACTGAGATCACCATCTCAAGTTGGCAGAACAATGCAGTCGGTTGGTGTGTTAAAGAAACTTTTCGCTGCGTGTTTGCCACACGTGGAACAACCTCACTGTAGTTATTATGTCAGCCCCCACGTTAGCCGTGTTCAAAGCACGTGTCGACGATGCATTGGCCGTATGACATCATATCACGTAACCCAAACGACAAATAGAAACAACAGAAAACGAGTCAACCCACCTCCATTTTTGCCCGGGAATCACAGACGATGACCTAGGATAATATATAAAACCAAGCGTGAACTGCTCGAACGGGGAAAACAGTAACCAACATTTTTGCAATTTACGGTTGTTCACTATTTCCACTTGCTATTTTTGCCTTCATTTTGTTCGCTCTTAACCGATCATCCGGTGGAATATGTCAGGCTTTGACTTTTTTCTCCGCGATATACCACTGACCATTGATCATGGGCAATGGCTCGCATGATATGGTGTGGCGAAATGAGTGCACGGTCAACTCGATCTTTGAACTCTACCACCGTGAGAGCACAGACGACAGATTCCGGTAGGGAGTTCCACGCTTGGAAAGCGCGAATCGAAAAGAAATTCAAACGGCATTCCAAACGATTGTACTACTCTACCGGCTTGAGATGGTGGCCTCTCAGCTTCCGAGGTCATGACCTGAAAGAAGTAATTCAATACTTCCGTTTGGATTCTGGAATGTAGTTTTACTCACTTTTGGAATCAGTTTACGCTGGAATGCATTACCAGCATATGTGGTCAACACACCAGATATCGTGACATTCGGAGAAGTACTGGGCTTGCATCTATGTGATAAATGCTACACAACACTATGATAACATGCAATGTCCAAATTCCTGATATTTCACCTTCCACGTATGAACAATTTCGATTTCATTTGCATTTTCCATCCTATGGATTTTGCAAGGCTATGTTTTTTATCCAACGGCACACTAATGAACAAAACTCACCGCAACTGAACCAGAGGTTGTCCATGATTTCTTCACAACGAGGACGCTCTGTGACACTTTCAGTTGCAGTGACATGCAAATGCAGAAACTGGTGCGGATATCAACTATGAATTCGGCCACATGTCAACTGCTACGGCTTTTGTCTTACGTATTAGAGGAGATCACAGCGTACACGGACACCATCGCAAAATTTAAGAGCCTATTGCTTTTGCAAGGACACCTCGTTAACAGAAAGCGTGTTTATAGATAGGACCTAAACTGGTTTATTATGACACACATTCACAGAGCAGAATACCAGTGCAAAAGCCAATCAGTTTGATCAGGCTTCCCGCCGTTGCCACTATGCATCTCCTTAGATAAATAAATAAATAATTTTATTTATTTTCAGTAAGTTCGAAGCACGCCTCGCTAGACATGACCATAAGGTTTCAGCACTGATGAGTGTCAGCTATAATGCATGTATAGTTATTGAAAATGTAAAAGTGTTGTACAGGATCCGTATAAGTAGTTAAAAATAAGTATTTCGCACATATGCAACGTCAGACGTATTCTTGGGATCGTCAGGTTTGGGGGCACTAGTTGAAATGTTTGTTTCTTGGAAAAGTGAACAGTGTGGAAACACACAGAAGAAGTGTGAGGGAGATTTGATGCATACTCATTGTAAATATGGATTGAAGTATATGGAAAAGGTTTCTGATAATCAACATAGCCTTAGACAATGACATTCAATATCATCTGTAACCACTCAACGTTATTAGTAAGCAGTTCACACAAGAATTTCGTTTACTTTCTCCCTACCGTAGGGGTCAGTTCGGCAAAGTTCATGCCTGCGTGTGTCGCAAGACCGGTGCAAATTATGCACTGAAAAAGTTCCGTTTCGCTCGCTTGGCCCGACACCAAGGTGAACTAATGGAGGTCGCGGTGCTTCGAGCGCTTGGCAAACATCCACAGATCGCTCATCTGGTCGCCGCTTTTGAGTTCAACGGCTATTGCACTCTCATCACGGAACTGTAAGTAAGCCATCATGTGTTAGTTATTAGGGTATACTGGAGTTATCATTGAGAACTGACTGTCTGGGAAATTACAGACAGTTAATCACAGTGATGAACACGTTTATTCATGCCACTATTGGCTTCATAACTTTTACTTTATCAAGTAATGGTCCTCAGACGAAGATGTTGCTCCGGTAGCTTTTGGTGCCAGACATTTTGGCGGAAATTAATCATTCGTTTTCGTAATTCACATTTGTATACACTTCACTTGATCTACTTTTAACGTACAGAGTTACGGGAGGTGCGCTATTTGAGCGCATCGAAGCTGAGGGATGTCTTGATGAGGCCATAACCGTACAAATTATCAAACAGCTGCTGAAGGGTTTGGAGCACTTGAAAAACTGCAAAGTCCTTCACTGCGATTTGAAACCAGAAAACCTAATCATGTGCAAACCTCGAGGATATCAGCTGAAGATTATTGATTTCGGACTGGCTTGTTTTTATGATACTAGTCAACCAAGACGTCGACCAGCTGGGACACTCACTTACTTGGCGCCGGAGACACAGAATTATGATCCTCAGTCTTATGCAACAGATCTGTGGAGCGTGGCTGTTATAGCCTACGAAATGTGAGTCCAAATTACTTTACTTGACAACATGTGGTGAAGGTATGCCTATAGAACTCGTGATTTGGCTTTACGGCATTTGCTGATCGTTTACTTTGAAGATAAGCCAACGATATCCACGTATACTCTACTTAGCTGGCTGAGATGCCCAGTTTGGATGTCCTTCCTTTTAAAAGTAATTCTCTATTGAAAGTAGCTGATATAAAGCATCACCCTGTAGTAATCACAAATACTTTTCATGTATACAGTGCCAGGTAATTAGAGGTTGAGAAATCTCGCTCTCTGCAGATTAAAGTTCTTTATCGCTACAGAACATTTCAATCTACCTTCGCCTGAATGTTAGTAGGCATAGAGTGCAGCATCGCTAAAATTTAAAATAATGAAACGACAAACTTTAGTAAATGCTATCAACCCTAGTAGAGACTGACTGATTGGACATGAACTGTTTATTGAAACCTTGTACTTTAACTGACGAAACGAAAGGACCTGAAGGGATGACATCATCATGTTTAGAACTAACACATTCTGAACGCATATTACCCTCAGTAAAAGATCTATAAATGCAACCCAGTTTGCCCGGTTATACCCAGTTTAGCGATGTACGATGATTTACAATGAAATCAGTTTCGGTCCGCTACAGTAACACGGAATCTCTTCAAATATCCCGCGAGCACTTCCACGGAATGGAGAGTTACTTAGTGGCTGCTCGGAAGTTCAACGAAATTGCCCCTCGTGATTAGTGGAGAGGATTCCAAGCGTACACAGACGAATTCTGCAGCTCATAGATGCTGCTGTAAAGACCGAGAAAATGGTTCATTCGCAATCATGGAAGTTACTTTCAGTGCCTTCCGTGCAGTGTATCCATAATCGCGACAGAAACGTGCATACAACTCATGGCATGATCATTGCGAGAAGTATAGAGGAGATGGTATTGAAATCCGGAAGGTGAGAGCGAGTCGTTGCCAAACAACACTGGTCGTTGCTTGTGCAATTGGCGCTTGTTCATATGCCGTATGTGAAGTAGGAATTTCCCGATGCAACCTGCAGAGTTCATTGAGGTACATGTACGACGGTTCCGGGTCTGAACAGAATTCTGATGACAGGTCAAGCTGATACCATAACTAGTTCTCATAGCCAAGTTTGACGCACTTACCGTTGCTCGATATAGCCTCCCTTTGTATCAGCGTTTTGGGAAGCTTTGTAGGTTGACCAAACTGTCATCTGCGAAATTATACTCCTGCTTCTAAGGCGGAACTTCACTGCCGTTAAGCATATGATCACATCCTACGATTCCATCGTCACAAGCTTGCTGAATTGGCTGAAGATATCCATCGCCTTATAACGGAGGATTTCTTAGTGATGAAAGATCGACGGATTGTTTAAGACGGCATAGGACATCGCAACTTGTGACAACCCCAGGATTCTTCAGGGTCGCTTTTGGAATCACCCGTGTAGCAGACAACAGGGAACAACCATGCCGAATAAATACTGCTGCCTGGAAGACGGTGGGCACATCACAGTAGTTGTGAATGCTCGGTGGCTAAGGCGCCGGAAAGAAAACAGCTAAGGAGGAAGACTGTTGGCTTGAGGAGAGCCCGATAGACAGGATAGTGACACTAAGGCGATTACAGTGGTAGCTGTGCGGGATACGATGGCACCTTTCTCACTGACGGCAACTCTGTTATGATCAGTGCAGATGAGTGACCTCTTGGCGGCAGTTTCCGTAGAGAGAGCTCCGCTCTGAACTGATTTCTTTGAGTCTCAGCATAGCGACGGTGTTCGGGCCCGTTAGTGTACTGGCGCCGGTGAAGTCCGGGTGAGTTTGTCAGGGCAATACCAGCCCACTACTAGAAATATTGTGGACAAAATTCGATACTTTGTCGCCTAGCTTTGTGTAGTCACCAGCGTTATATTTCTTTTAATGAGATTAGTTCCTGGGAGCATCGAATCAGGGAACGAATTCTGAATCGTTCACTGAGTGTGCTGTCATCTTCTTATCCCTATGTTCGCTATATTCGACTAACTAATTGCACTGAACTAGCCGATTTCGCTAGGATGTGCAGTAGCTGATATGTGGTATCACTGCCTCATATTGTGTAAAGTGCTTTTGTCGAGTTGGCGTTACAAAGGAATAACTTGCAGTACTTACTCGTCAGTGGACTGTGAGCTGTGATCGCTGACTGAATGATGAACGGTATCTTCGTTGTAGTGTCAACGTGTTTGGTGCCTTTCATGTCATTTTCTGTCCAGATAGCTGAAACGATTGGTGTTGTTGCGGACATGTGAACAGTTACAACAGTCGAATGAACCACCAAGTCTTCAGAGATAAGGGAATGCGGTAACGCAGTGAAGTATACACCACAGAAAAGCCTACTGGAGTAATCACCTAGACCGAGGTAAATGTCACCGAAACTCGGTTGTGAGTATCAGCGATCCTAACGTTACTCCTTTGAGTTCATATTTGGCATTCTTACTCAGCTCTGAAGCGTAGCTTGTTCTTGGGTATCGGGACTCGAACCCCTCAACGAACGATTCTGGTGGAGTAGTTTTGTTCTTCTTCGATTGTTCATCACTGACAGTACATCACAATTTCTTGCCAGCATAGTTGCACACCTACCGAGTGAAATATAAGTACAATCTGTGCAGAAGCAAAAGGGAAACCGTCATGCTTTCTCACTCTAACACTTGTCTTGGTGACAGGTAAGCGCGGCAATAGTGAAGTTGGTCGCTGCGGTCACAATACACTAACGAAATTGGAGGGTTTGGGGACATATTTCTGGGCTGCAAATGCCTTTTGGCTGTTACTCCTAAGGCTGCACCATGCCCATGACTTACAACTCTCAACATTTGTCGAGTCACGGACAACGGCACAATCATCGATGCGGTCTAACGATCAACGACAATTATTGCACAAGTGTGGTCAGTCGAATGGTTAGATTGGCTACAGTGTGATACACATTGCGAGATAATCCGTGACTAACGCTTTGTTCGTTACATGTTATGTGGTTGTAATCCCAGAATGAAACAATGTGTATGAACTAACTGAACTCCTTTTGATCCAGCCTTGCAGGTATCACTCCGTTTGAGGTGCCACATGAAGGTGACCCGGAGCGAAAACTGAGCAAGAATGAGATATCAATCAACATTACCAAGGTGCGATACACACTGGAGGAGAGTGGCATAGTAGACGCGTCTGCCGAGGCGAAAGACTTCATCAAGAAGATTCTTGTGCGGCAGCCAGAGTAAGGGTAACTTTGTTACTTTGAGTTCACTCTAACTAATTTTCTAAGTTCAGTGGGACTGTAAGCGATACAAGCCCCAACTTCGCATAGGTCCTTTATGAATATTACGCACTGGTGAAGCGATTTTTAAAAAAGAATATGAACCGATCTAGTTGCATTACAAACGGATTTCGTTGGAACAGAATGCTGATAGATGAAGATTCAAGTGGCTAACTACGAAAAACTGCGAATGTGACAAATTCACGAGTGATAGAGGGTCATTTACGGGAGGCGAAAGGATATTTGTGGGTAAAATTGCCTTTGGTAGTTAGACCCTCAGACACCAGAGAAACAACCAAAATGATGTTCGAGATACGCGGCGTCTGTCACTTCAAGCAAGTAAACAGAGATGCGGTTGGCCGAATTCTTAGAGGCGCAGATAGAATAAAAATACTAGCAAGAGAGTAGCATCACGCCTCGTTGGGTTTGTATAATGAAATGTGTAAGAAGTAACCGACCTATTCGCCTATCAGCGTTACTCTGTTGGATTGCAGGAAACGACCATCTGTGGAAGAATGTCTCAAACACGCGTGGATGACGATGTCTGATGTGGCGCGGCCAACAGTCACGCGGAATCTTTCGTTGTACAGACGCAGTACCCGCAGAAATATAAACGTAAGTTGTGTTTATCAAACGTGGCACATACCAAACAACAATAATGCCTCGCCCGTATGTATGCTTAGAATAGTTAGAACAGCCACAAACGCAGAAATGTCAATGAAATAAGTAGACTGTATTCAACCAGATGGATGCATTTTCAAAATCTGTACAATTAAATAATCTATGACGATTTCAGACGGTGATCGACCGCTTTGTGGCAACACAGTGCTTGTCGCAATGTCAGTTTATGATGCACACGCTGTCAACAGTTGGTGTGTTGTTTCACAACCTAGTTCAATTGCATTATTAGTTTGAGTAACGGGATCATTCGTCCTTCTGACTACTTTAGTAATGAACTAGCCCTCAGTTGACAGATCGACGGACTTGGAAGACCACGTTGCATACACGGATGGTGGGGTTCCAATAGAAGGATGATGGGTATAGTATGACAGTGTGGTTAAGTGCACGCAATCACCGGTACACTGATAGCTTTTGGGTTGGAATATGGAACCGCTGGGCATTCTAAATGATCACCAATCCCTTCGAGACGAGAGTTATGCTGGAAGCTGTGCCCAGTCGGGGAACCGCAAGGCCAATAATGTGTACAAAGGCATGCTTTCAAGCTGGACAGTACCGGCCTTGAAGTTGATCAGTGGGCCAAGAAACTACCGACCGCAAAGGAAACCAATCGCGTATGGGACTTGCGAATCGGTGCGGACTTGAACCCATCAGCATATGACATAAACCTTTGCTGTAACAGTCGTGTTGCATCACAGGTAACAGCGGAGCCTGATAGTCCATGGTAACATACGTTGTGCCCGGCTTCTTTGGAGTGGTAGGATAGGTTGACGCGGACTAAAAGCTAATTAGACTAGATGAGTGGTGTGCATCCCAGAGAAGAAACGGGTGGTCCAACCTGGTTACAGGATCATATCAACTATGATTTAAGTTGAGCAGTTGTTTACGCTCATGTGTTGAATGGTACAATGTGACCGATTTCCAAGTCCACTATAAATGGAAATTGGGTCAGCAGAACAGCATCATAAAAAGAAAGCAAGTATCGGAGAAGAGACCCCGTAAGCGAAGTGTGCTTGAAGCCGACGCATGAGGTTGAACGGCCCAGTTAAAGTAACGAAGTGCTCGGAAGCATACTGGAACAACTGTAAGCGATAGGATCAGCCCATGACAAACAACAGAATCCCCCCCCCGGATGTCTAAAAATGTTCCTACCGTGTTGAGAATGACGGGCTAGAGAATTTAGCCTAAAGCATAAGGTCAGCTTAGTGGAGGTGCTGCGCTGGAGCAAACTTTGTGTCTTCATCTGGGTATTTGTGTTAGCTGAATGGACCACCAATCACTGGTCGTAGCACATGTACTACGACCAGTGATTGGTGTGTTAGAGGGTAGTCAGTTGACTCATTTCCACCGTACCGGCCTGAGCGTGTGCATCTAGCTCACAACAGAAACGATACATGTGGGTAGACGAGAAACAATGGCCTCTTAACTGACGAGATTAGAGCTCAGGAACAGCAGGAGTCTACTGAGGGCCAACTGGTGATCGTAACGCGAACGACACGACCATTGTCGTACGGATGCTACAGTGAAATGACGATGATGAGAATCGCAGTACAAGGAAATTTCCAGAATGGGGAAATTCACTAGTGTACGAGTATAGTTCATGTGGCATCCTCACGGCCAATGTACTGAGCCTTTCCTGTTCGTTGCCTGAATCTGCTGGCGTGTGTCAGTAACCCGCTCACCCACTTATCGATGACCTAATTTAGAATAGTGGATCGATGCGTTGTAAAACATGCTGGTTAGAATACAGTTTTGCCTTCCGTTTGCCTGACATGTTTTGCTTTGTGATACTGCGGCTAAGAACCAGCTACTGAGCGTTAGTTCCGCAATTGTTAAACGGTGACATTTGGCAGCGAAGGTTAAACTCAGAATGATTTATTGTGAGCCAGTTCACTCCGCCGGATCCTTTTTGGAAGGATACGTCGTCCAAACCATGCCTAGCAGTTTGGAAACGAAACATCTGTGACTACCTTGAGCTTTTCAGAACTACACCCCCCCACATCAAACTTAGTGAAACCCCATCTACCAAAGCACTAAGACAACACGTCAGTGCAGAAGATCAACAGCATTTAGACGGTCTGCGTTTGTACGAAAGGACAACCGTGATGGACTGCTTTAACGTCCTGGATGGCCTTTGTTTTACGACACGCCTAAGTTTTTCCCAATTACGTCAGGGAGAAAGGGAGAGTGTTAATGAATTTCTCAGTCGTATACAACAGTCCCTTCCTGACTGCCGTTACAATGAAATGCCCGTAATGAAATTCGAAGGGTCGATGACGGGGCATCGCCTTTTGATTGGTATTCGAGACGATAAAGCTAGCAAACGTCTGTTGTCAGAAGTTGAGACTAAACTCACTTGGGAAACAGCCTGCGCACTGGTTAGGCAAAGGGAAAGCTATTCTCCTTCAGATGCCGTCTATGCGGTTGAATCCCGAGTAGCACCTACCAACAAAATGTTTATTTATGTGCAACAGACGCGGAGAGAAGCATGAAAAGCTTACTGATTGCAGACACAAAAAGTCTAGTTGTCACATGTGCGGAAAAGTCGGACGTATTGTACGCGTATGCTGTTCGACTGCGGTTCAACGACCGATACCCCGCCCTGCCCAGGGTACTGTGCGAATTGTGGCAAATGTTGACGGTCCCATATTCTATCTAATTTTGCACACCACCACATCGTACGTAATAGAAATACCCCCGTACACAGTTGATTGAAACATTGAAGACCAGCCAGTACGTCTGGAGATGGACACCGGGGATACGATTACATTGATCAACAATAGAACTTTACCCGATCTGGTTCTGATTTCGACTAAATCTAATGTACTATCATATACTGGGGAAATACTCCATGTTTTGAGTGTGTGTGACGTGAAAGTAAATCATTGGGACAATAAGTTGACTCTTTCTATAATAGTTACTAACACAGACGGAGCGAACCTACTTGGGAGGAACTGGTTAAAGTACATGCTGGAAATACGACAATCTATCAAGAAGGTGGACAGTCTATCTGACTTAGCTACACTCTCGAAAGCTTTTGCCAGTGTTTTCGATACAAACGTAACTGGGAAATAAGGAGATTTCAAAGCTTGCTTTAATATCAAACCACATACTCAACCGAAACGTTACAAAGCACGAACTCTACCTTTCGTAGAGTTAAAGCGCTTACAAAAGGACGGAATAATTCACCTGTACGCCACCCTTCCTGGGATGCGCCCATCGTTAATATAAAGAAGCCTGATGGATCAGTTCGCATATGCAGCGAATATAAACTGACGGTTAATCAAGCGAATACGATGGAACATTATACAATTCCACGGATGGATGACCTTTATGCAACGTTGTCGTCTGTCGAAACTTGATCTAAGTCATGCTTATTCTCAAGCGGAGCTGCAGAAATCCTCAAAGGCAATTATATGGTTGGCGGCATCCGGTTTCCGATTTGCCTGTCACTAAGGCCAGCCACAAGACACCTGCGCCTACAGAAGGATCATGGGTAGCTGGCGCTGCATCACCCACAGCTCCATCCACACACACCATATCCAGTCTAAACCCGAAGGAATAAGACCGGGAGGCATGTGGATGGGAGCCACGTTTCATCAACGGAGCCGGCCCACACTCATTCACAGGCAAACACAAGCAAGCTGTATTGGGGGAATCAAGCGCACACAAGGCGTTGGCTGGACAGTAGTCCGCTCCACACTGAGTGCATGGAACGACTCTTTGATCCTAATACGGCCACAAGGACCGTGCACGCCGTCCCCTCCAGCAAAAACCAACTGTCTCCTAGAGCCAGTATGGACGAGGTAGTGGGTAATAGACAGGTTGGCACCTTGTCAACATGCACATCAAGCGCAGCCACACCGGGGATATTAAGCAACAGCCAATCACATGAGAGAAAGATAACAAATAGAATAAATCGAGTAATGCATACGGAAACAGTGACATTAATCTTAAATTAATGAGCACATGAAATAAGTTGTTTACAAACGAATCCGAGATAAGTTCACGAGGTCGAAAAATATATTTTACGGAAATGCCACAAATGCGAAAATGTTATCGAAATTAACTACAATTGGCTTAAACGACGTGCGCAAGCTTATAGTGGAGAGTACTGGTAGACATTTATATGAGAAAGTAAAGCATTAGGACAAATTTGAAAACCTACCACCTGAAATAAAGAGACCCAGCATGCAAGCACGTGGTTAGTAAATCGAATGCAGCGTACCTACAAACGCTGCATCAGTTCTGCCTACGTCCTCTGCAGGACCCGTCGTCGCTTCGGTAGTGGTCTCCAATGGCCTCGCTCTTGACTCACTAAGCCTGCCTGACTCAGTCACTCGCGACCGTGTGGGCTACAGCACCATGCATTCGATGTCGTTGGAGTACAACCCATCGGTGCTTGTGGCTTCCGCATTTTCCGTTTCTTCGCCGCACTTCGGCAATTGTCTTCGTGATCAGATCGCGCCATGCACGCCGATCAACCTCCTTCGATTACCATGAACTGCAATCAAGGACGTGAGGGGCTCACTTTGATCATGTCCTGATAACGTAAGTTTAGTTTCCCCACGTGCCGCTTCCCAATACTCAGCTGACCGTGTAAGAGTCGTTTCGGTATCCGCGCCGAATCCACCCGGCAGACATGACCGAACCACCTCAGGTGTCTTAGTAAAAGTATGCAGTCCACTGCATATATCCCACTTTGTCGAAATACTTTCGTATCCGCAACTCTGTCACCCCAACTGATGCACAAAATTCGTCGCAAATATTGCTGATGAAACCGCTCGAGATATCGCACATCCCGACGGTACATCGTTCACGTTTCACTTCGGTATAGAAGAACGGACAGTACCATTGGTTTGTGCATCATCAGAGTCGTACCAATGGAAAGCTGATGGTTGTTTCACACTTGGGACTCTAGCTTCCTGAATGCTGCC